GAGAACTAGAAAGGCGAGGCTCACCACCCATTTATCCCTCCGCCTTTCAATTAGCCCCACATGTGATTATCGGCCAGGCTGGCACAATTAACTCAGACTGTTCAGACCCCCCAGCCGAGAGCAAGTTGAGACCATCCACTCCTGTAAAGACTGACAGTCCCCGAAACCCAGGGGAGCATCTCAACGCTGTCCTGTGGGGTCACTGTGAGTTGGCATTTCCTTCCTGGCAGTGGGGAGAGGGCCACCGCCTGATGGACAGGAAGATGGCTTTTGCATGAGTCTCACTGTGTGGAGGGCCCTCCATCGACCTTCCCCTCCACCCCTGACTGCTGCACTTCCCACTTCGAGGTCAGGGGAAGTTGACAGGGATACCTGGGGAGCAGGGGGCCTGGAGGGGGACACCACTGGTTACTGGTGTGCCCCCTTCTGTTTGCTGACTCGGTGCAACTGCCGCCTACACCTCCCGCCACCAGTGGAGGCACAATGCCCAGCACCTGCGGGCCCCCACCCCTGGCTGGCATGTTTCCCAGTACTCTGGGTAATCAATTATTTTAATTAGTGAACATCCATCCCCTTATGTCAGCCCCCAGCCTCACCAGACACCCTCCCTCAAGACTCTCTCGCCCACCCCTCACCCCACCCCACCCCACCCCACCTTAAATAGCAGGGATCCGGTTATTGCGAGGCTTCTCTGCTGCTCTCTGGGGAGCTGTGCCCTAAGGAAGCACCAGCGCCCTGGGGTGCTGTGTCAGTGGAGCTGCCGAACTGGCTGCTTGTGGAATGGGACTTGCCAGAGTGCCCTGGGGATCCCCCGTCTGATGAGGCCTGCACACCGCACCCCGTGCTGTCACCACCAGGGGACAGGCCCTGAGCTGGAGAGCCCAGCTTGCGTGCTGGCCCCACCCCCTCTCCCTGCCTGGGCACCGGCACCCTGTCTCCCTTCCCAAAGAGGGCCTCTGAGTTCAGTCTTCTAGCTTTACCGTCAGCAGTCCCACCCCGGCAGATGGGCCAGTAATCAGCTTCTTCAGCCGGGGAAACGGGGACCCGAGGACCAGTCTCAGAGGGCAGTTGTGAGGATGAAAAGCAGCTTGGACCTGGCACACAGCTGGCACTCGTAAAGGCCTCCTCCCCACCAGAAGGCAGCCGCTGGGCCTGGGAGGGCGAGGGGGGTGGGCACCCCGGACAGAGCAGGGCACCAAAGGCCTCTCCCCACCCTGCTGATGGGCGGGGCCTGGCCCTTCCAGGAAGTGAGGGCGTCACGCCATCGTGGGCTCCACAGATGTTGTTCTCACCCAGGGGCTTCTCAGCATGGGCTTGTGGGAAATTTAATAAAAGGAAATTAAGTGCCAGCTCCAGACAGGCTGTGATGTGCATCTTCTGCAGTTCTGGGTTTGGGCATCTGCTATGGGGCCCTCAGGCCCTCCCCTTCCATGTCTCTTACTGGACCCGAGGGTCCTCCTCATCAGCGTAGGGTGAGGGGTCTTCTCCTCTCCTTTCCACTCCGCCCCCATGCTCTTCCCTGCCTTCCTAGTATATCCTCCCTCCCCTCCCTTATTCCTCTCTCCCCCTGCCTCCCTCTTCCCTTCCATTCAGTCTGCTTCCCAGACTGTTGGTGGTTCAATCCCACCAGCAGCTGCTCAGGACAGAGACAAGACTGTCGGCTCCGGCAAAGCTGTAGAGAGCTCTGAGAACCCTCTATGAGGTCGCTGGGCGTCAGCTCAACTCCGTGGCAGTGGTTCCGGTGTGGGGAGGTGGGTGGGCAGTGTACAACCAAGGAGGCCTGGTGGTACAGCAGTTGAGCACTCGGCTGCTAACTGAAAGGTCAGGGGCTTGACCCCACCAACCAGCCGCTCTTGGGGAAAGAGGTGTGGCAGTCTCCCTCCCTCCCTCCACAGCCCTGGGCACCCCACGGGGCAACCCTACTCTGCCCTACAAGCTTGCTATGAATTAGAATCAATGCCAGGGCAACGGCTTGGATCTGATGCTAAGGCCCAAGTGGCTGGGGCTGCCATGCTCCTAAAGGCCTTTGCCAGGAGAACCTGTCCCTAGAAGTCTCCTGGGCCCTCTGGACGTGAGAGGCTCCACAGTGAGCCCACCCCTTTGGACTAGGGAGTGGGGAGAGGGCTGGGCCCTTTCTGGAATGCCTGCTGGATGTCCAGTCTCTAAGGTATACACCCTGTTCTCCAGTGGATGAGTTTGAGAAAAACTCTGCCCTGAGGGGCCTCTGTTTCCTCACCTGGAAGGTGGGCAGCTCGGCCCTTGATCCCATAGGCCTTCCCCATATGGGGTGGCTCTGAAGGGATGGCCCAGGCCCTTCAAGCCACAGCCCCCCGGGCTTATTCATCACCGTTCCTTGGCCCAGGCTTCAAACTCATTCATTCCCATCCAAGTGAACCTACACTCTAATAGGATCCCCAGGAGATTCTTTTTTTTTTAATTATAATTTTAATTTTTTAAAAAATCATTTTATTGGGGGCTTGTACAACTCTTAACACAATCCATACATCCATCCATTGTGTCAAACACATTTGTACATTTGTTGCCATCATCATTCTCAAAACATTTGCTTTCTACTTGAGCCCTTGGTATCAGCTCCTTGTTTTTACCCTCCCTCCCTGCAACCCTCCCTCCTGAACCCTTAATAATTTTTACATTATTATTTTGTCATGTCTTTTTTTTTGTCATGTCTTACACTGTCTGAAGTCTCCCTTCACCCACTTTTCTATTGTCCATCTCCCAGGCCCCTGGAGAGTCTTATAGCTCCCCCAGGATCTTGTTAAAATGTAGGCTCTGATTCTATATATCTGGGGTGGAAATGCAAATTCTCCACAGGTGGGGGTGGAGTGAAATGGAATGAACTGGTTAGAAGCCTAGGGAAAGGGGACAGAGGGAGGAGCTAACGAGCACCCCCCTTTTCAAAGCCAACTTCTTCTTCCACTCAACATATACTCCCACGGGAGTGCCCGGCCTGGGGCAAGGGATGCAGGCCTTTGGAGCAGGGCCAGGCGTCGGCAAAGCGCTGGGCACTGGTGGCAGCCAGCCCGGCTAATGAGACAGAGACTCGCTGGCAGCCGCAGCTGTGCGTGGTCAGAGACAGTCTGGAAGCTGGGAGACCCCTCCAGGTCTGTGTTTCCGTAAGGAACCTTCCTGTTCTTGACAGAGTGGTCCCCAGAGTTGGGGGGAAGGAGACGTGGAAAGGCTCTGCAAGTGAGGCTCCCTCACCCCTGGGGCTCGGGTTTATTAGAAGCTCAAACCGAAAAACCAAACTCACTGCCTTCCAGTGGATGCTGACTCAGCACGACCCTGCCTTGTGGGTTTCCCAGACAGTAGCTCTTGACAGGAGTTAGAAAGCCCTGTCTTTCTCCCAAGGAGCAGCTGGTGCTTTTGAACTGCTGGCCTTGTGGTTAGCAGCCCAGTGTGTAATCAGTACGCCACCAGGGCTCCTCTTGGGAGCTGAAGTCCCAGCACCCCCCACCCTCTGTTGTCATTGTCGTTGGTCAGTGTAACACCAGATGGGGAGCATGGGCCAGCACACCTCCAGGCAGGGAGGAGGGCAGAGCCTGGGAAGCCTTCGTGAGCCCGAGGAGGGTGGTGTTCATTCCTGGTCTCTGTGGGGGCTGTGGCTTCTCTCAGTGGTGGGGGCAGCATGTGATCGGAGGGCTTCAGGGGTGACCACAAAGGTGCGTGCTCAGCTGGGAACTAGACCAGAGAACGGAGTCTGAGGGCACGGGCACCTCTGAACCCAGCGTGGGCCTGGAGCTCCCGTGAGCCAGGCACCCGCAGGCCTGCCGAGTAGGCAGCTTATATGAGGGAGACCCTTGAACTGCCCATGCTGTAACCGAGGCTGGAGTGAGCACCTCGAGGCTCAGGCCGCAGCCTCCTAAGCAGCCGCCCCAGGACGAGGCTCGGTGCACAGTGGGGTCGAGGAGGGGGAGGGCGGAAGGTGACAGTGGCCTCGCTCCGTCTGTCACCAAGGGTGGGCTGCCCTCGGAGTACACCGTCCAGGCGCGGCAGGGAGCCTCACCCCTGCCTCTGTCCCCCTCTCCCTCCTCAGAAGAAGAGCAAGGTGCACTACCACGTGGCTGTCATCATCAACTACCTGGGCCACTGCATCTCCCTGGGGGCCCTCCTGGTGGCCTTTGTCCTCTTTCTGCGACTCAGGTGAGAGGGTGCTGGGCCTTGGGTGGAGTAGAGAAGGAGCTCCAGGAGGGGGCCCCCCGGCCCCTCACCTCCCCAGGAGCAGTGGTGTAGGAGGAGTCTCGGGTCTTCCGGAACCTCCCACAGGACACTGCCCCGCCCCCAGGTACTGCAGTGCGAGGTGGTGAAGGGGGAGGGGGATAAAGTCTGGGGGTGACTTGTGCCAGTCACATCAGGCCGGTGACGTGACACCATGCGGGGTGATGAAGAAGGGGAGGGGGGTTCCGGGGAATGGCCCGCCTTGGGTTTTAGACTTGCCTGTGGCCCTCGCCCTACGTCCAAGGGTGCAGGCGTCAGCACCTGGCGGGTCTGTGCCAGGAGAGGGTAGGGTGGGGCGGGCTGAGCATCAAGGCTGATGCCAGCCCGAGCTGGCTGCCTGTCAGAGCCCCCCAGCTGAGCTGGAGGGGCTGCCATGGAGGGCATGCACACACAGGATCCTAGTGGGGAGACCAGCAGGGCTCTGCGTTCATAGCTCACAGGTCACAGCTGCCTCTTTCTCCAGGGAGTCTGAGGCCCCTTGTAGAGCAGGGAGCCTGGGGCGACGTCATCTGGAGAGTCACTCTGCCCTCCCCAGGCCTGATTGTCACACCCTCCCCACCCTCCAAGGTCCAGGCTGTGGAGAGGGGTAGAGCCGGTCTGGATCCTGACAGGCACAGCCCAGCTGGGCATCCGTGGGCAGCTTCCTGACCTCTCTGAGCTTCCTGGTCCAGGGCTGGGAAGGGCCACGCCCACTGTGCACAGCGGTTGTGGGCGTGAGGCGAAGGCGCATGAAGCACCCTGTATTACCCAGGGGCTGAGCTCGGGGCAGGGACAATGACTGCACGCCACATGGTGCTGGTTCACGTGTCCGAGCCCGGCTGAGCCTGCATGTGGCTCTGCTCTGAATCCCAGAGCTGCAGACAGAGGAGGGCGGCCCCGTGGCGAGGGGGGTCACTCCAGAGTGTGAGAAGCTCTTGGTCCAAGGGCTGGGGTGCAGGGGCTATAGGGGAGATGGGCCTTCTGCTGCCACCACAATGTGTGTCGTGACCCATTATCCCCGCTCTGAGCCTCAGTTTCCTCCTCCTCCCCCATTCCCTCTCCCTCCCCTTGCTCCCATCACCCCCACCCTGCCGCCCCCAGGAGTATCCGGTGCCTTCGGAACATCATTCACTGGAACCTCATCTCGGCCTTCATCCTGCGCAACGCCACGTGGTTCGTGGTCCAGCTCACCATGAGCCCTGAGGTCCACCAGAGCAATGTGGTGTGTTCTGGTGGGGCGGGGGACTTGGACAGGGCCAAAGCCCAGAGTCGGGGGTGAGGGAGGTGTGGGGGCATCCCAGGGCGGGGAGCTGGGCACTGGCCTGGAGACTCCAAAGCCAGGAGTGGGGTCCCAGAGGGCCCCTGGCCCCAGGGTGGGCTGCGGCCCCTGCCTCTGGCTCAGCGGCCTCCCGCCCATCTTGACGCATGATCTTCTCCGGTGGGGGTGGGGGTGGCAGGGCTGGTGCAGGTTGGTGACCGCTGCCTACAACTACTTCCACGTGACCAACTTCTTCTGGATGCTGGGGGAGGGCTGCTACCTGCACACGGCCATTGTGCTCACCTACTCCACCAACCGGCTGCAGAAGTGGATGTTCATCTGCATTGGCTGGGGTGAGCGGCACCCTCACCGCCGGCTGGGGGGCTTTGAGACCCCGGCTCGGGTTGGGCTCATGGGGGTGTGCCCTGTGGCCCGCTGCCCCTCCTTGGGGACAGCTTGTAGGAGGATGCCGGTCTGAGCTCCACGCTGGGCTGCACTGGGGTCCCCTCATCCCTCTGATGTCTGTCTCTCCCCCAGGGGTGCCTTTCCCCATCATCGTGGCCTGGGCCATTGGGAAGCTGTACTATGACAACGAGAAGTAAGTGACCTCCTCCGCTTCACAGCCCTCTCCCCGCACGCTCAGAGTCTGGGGTCCACTTCCCCTGGTGCCCGCATCTGTTAGAGAGGAGCTGGACGCTCACTGGGTTGGCGAGGAGGGATATTGGGTAGGCGTGCGCCCAGCCTTTTCCCTCTGACTCCTACACTGGGCTTTGACAAGAGACGGAACAGCAGAAGGGCTATGGGCTGTGCCGGAGCCAGACCGCCCTGGTTCTACATTGAGACGCCATCATTCATGGTGACGTGACTTGGAACCAGTCCCTGGAGCATGCCTCGGTTTCCTTATCTAGGAAGCGGGCATCCTAATAGTAGCGCCTATCTCAAAGGGTTGTGGTGCGGGCAATGTGAATGAACATAGGCTAAGCATTTCAAATCACGCCTGGCACGTGGTAACGTCTACAGCAACCCTTCCTAGGGATAGTAAGACTTGTTTTAAGAGGCGATTCCGTGGGTTGAATCACAGTGGGAAACCTCTCGGTGATCTCAGAGGCCCCTCCAGCTCTAAAGTCCCTGAGTGCTTATAAAAGGACTTGGGTACCTCTCCCCGCCGCCCCCCCACCACCACCACCACTTCCCATTTACCCCTGAAAAGTCGACTTCTGCTGCAGTATTGGCAACCTTGGCTGTACATCAGCACCCTCTGGGAAGCTGTAAACTGTGGTAATTGGTCTGGGGTGTGGCCCAGGCATCGGGACTTTAAAAAACTGCTCCTTTGATTGGAACATGCAGCTAAGAAGGAACCCCATTGGGAAAGAGAGAGAGAGAGAGGCTACCAGGTGGGCGTACACAGTCTTGGCTTCCAGAATCTTCTTTGCCAGAGAAGTGCTTCCAGGAGCTCACTGTTTAGCTCCAGGGCTTCCAGGGGGCTTCCTCCCAGTGCCCCCTCCCCACCCCCTCCGTTGCAGAGGCTCCCGGGAGGCAGGAGCCTCACAGCCCAACTGAGAGCTTGGAAAATGATTTCTCAGTGATATTTACCCAGTTGCTCCTTCCTGGCTCAAGACCAGCTGGCCTCACTTCATTTGCATAGCTGCAGAGCAGGTGCCCACCCCCACCACTGTCCGGGTCCCCAGACAGGAGCATCAGGGTGGGGTGGGGGTGGGGGTGTATGCGTAACGTGCGTGTGTGTCCATGTCCCTGCTGCTCTAAAACCGCCATCTAGTGGCCAAGTGCTGACCTGCAGCAGAAGGGATCCAGGTGAGTCAGACCAGAAGTTGCAGCCCATGGCTCCTAAGGACAGAGAGCTGTGTTTGGTCTGGGTAGTGTTAGTTGGTTGGTTGGTTTGATTTTTGCTGTTGTTGGATTCTTTTGCATGTTGCTAACCTGAAAATCAAGCGGTTTTGCACAGAAATCTCAGTTCCTGGTTTATAAGACCTAGTCCTGGCAGGGCAGTCTCCAGTCTGTCTGCAAGAGGGACTTCCGACTTTACCCTGTCCTCACCCACCCCCCAGACACACACACACACACACACACACACACACACACACACACACACACACCACACCCTCTTTTGCGCCTGGGACTTGAGGGGTCCTGGCCTGCAGCAGGTTCAGGCTGCGATTACACACACCCGGGCAGGGATTGCTCACTGCTGGCACCCGCCGTTTGATAAGCACTAACCCTGCTCCTCACCTGCAGGCCTGCTGAGTCCAAGCAGGTGCCACAGGAGCCCAAAGGGGAGCGGGGACGCTGTGGTGTGTTGGGCCCATGACCGAGATGGGGATGGGTCTCCCAGCCTACTTGAGAGCCTCTCTGCTCTTTCCCACAATGCCCCTCCCTGTCACAGCCTTACATCTCATCACAGAGGATGCTGCCCATTTTGCAGGTGGGATAACTGAGGCACGGCGGTGGCCTTGTCAAGGTCCTGGCCCTCTGCCCGGGGTAGAACTAGAGCACCCAGAACCTGGCTTCCTGGCCTAATCTCTGCCTCCCTCCCCCACAAGGCAGCTGAACTGAACCCGGATGGCTCCCCGCCCTCCCCTTCCCTGCCCTCCCCTCCCCTCCCCTCTGTGGTCTTCTAGGTGCTGGTTTGGCAAGAAGCCTGGGGTGTACACTGACTATATCTACCAGGGCCCCATGATCTTGGTCCTGCTGGTAAGAAACTGGGAGGGAGTCGGGAGCCAGGGGCACAGTGGGAAGGGCAAATAGTGCCCCCTCTGCCCAGAGGTGGAGACTGCCCGGGGAGGGGGCCTGGGCCCAGAATGTGCAAGTGCTACCCAAGGTAGGACCCCGGGTGAGAAAGAGCCGATTGGGGAAACCGAGCCCAGCCCCCCCACACACACCACTGCCCACAACGACTGGCTGGCACACATGCCCACAGCACCTACCCCCATGGTGGGTTGAAATTTCAGATCAATTTCATCTTCCTCTTTAATATCGTCCGAATCCTTATGACCAAACTGCGGGCATCTACTACGTCGGAGACCATTCAGTACAGGTAACTGGCTCTTCTCCTACAGCCGCCCCCCCCCCTGCCACCCGTGGGTGCCTCAGAGACTCCCCACCTCTGCCCCAGAGTTTGCCCCAGCTCCTGGGGACCCCTGCTAGGACCCCAGCCCCTCCTGAGTGGGCTGTAACTCGGGGCCTCCCTCCCCCAGGAAGGCTGTGAAGGCCACGCTGGTGCTGCTCCCTCTGCTGGGCATCACCTACATGCTGTTCTTCGTGAACCCAGGGGAGGATGAGGTCTCCCGGGTGGTCTTCATCTACTTCAACTCCTTCCTGGAGTCCTTCCAGGTATAGCTGCCGCCCCAGCCTCCCCCAGATGCCCCCAGTCTCCCCTCTAGCTCCAGAGGGCCAGATGGACACTGGTGGGCAGGGCAACTCCCAGACAAAGGCCAGGAGGAGTGGGGGTCTGGGGAGAGGCCATGGAGCCCCCGTGGGTGGTGGTGGTGGTGCCTGCCCAAGTCCCCTGAAGGCCTTCTCCCTGCACCCAGGGCTTCTTCGTATCTGTGTTCTACTGCTTCCTCAACAGCGAGGTGAGGACCCCGGGGCCAGGGCGCCAGGCTGTGGGGAGCCCTTCTGGTCTGAAGCTCCTGTTGGAGGGGGAGGGGGCTGCTTCTTGAGCATCCTGGTCTCCTCCCTGCTCTGCTTCTGCGGTGACACCCCCTGCTCTGCTCTCATAGGCAGTTGGCATGGGGACCCAAGTGAAGGGTTCAGTGGAACAGGTTGCAATTCTGGGAGGGCCACCCAGGTGGGGGTGGACGCAGAGCCTCCGTATGGGCCTAGGCCACAGAGAAGCCGGTCCTGGTCGATATGCAAACAGCCCGTGGTTCCTGGGAGGCCCCTCTGCTCACCTGTGCGGTGGGGGGCGGGGACTGAGGAGCGGCTCAGACATCACTGTCCTGTGCTCCTGCAGGTCTGCTCGGCAATCCGGAAGAGGTGGCACCGATGGCAGGACAAGCATTCGATCCGGGCCCGGGTGGCCCGTGCCATGTCCATCCCCACCTCCCCAACCCGGGTCAGCTTCCACAGCATCAAGCAGAGCACGGCTGTTTGAGGGGTGGGGAAAGTGGTATGGGCCCTCGTGACCTGAGTCTGGGGAAAATGATCCCCAGGCCCAACTGGCCATCCATCAGTTCCTGTCCCCACAACTTTTACCTGGCTCTGAGAGCCCGTGGGGAGAGCTTACTGCCAAACCCCAGCTGACCTGAGAGTTCTGGGCTTCTGAGAGTGGGTGGAGTCTAGGCCCCTGATGGATGGAAATTACCAACAGCCTAGGATGGGCCCAGGGTCCCCTTGCCCCATCCCTTCTTCGAGAATCAGCTGGAAAACTGGAAGCAACACACAGACCCTCCCCCCCAAGAGAGGTTTTTCCCACAGCACAAAGTGGCCTGTGGCCGGCCCTCCAGAGACCTGGGGTTGTCCTCAAAAACGGAGGGGCAGGGGTGGGGGGAGAGGCCATTTGCTGTCCCAGTGGCTCATGGGAAACTCATGGCAGCCTCTGGGAACCAAGGCTGCGGTGGCAAGAACCCTGGTGATATCACGAGGTAGGAGGTGACGTCCCCAGAACCCAGCACTCCCATCCCACCAAGACTCATCTGGACAGCAACTGGCTCCCAGAAGCATCCTGCCTCGCTGCCTGACACTCTGGAGCCTGGGCGCCCCTCACGCTACCCCAGCTCTCCCCACCCACCCCCTAGGAGTTTGCCCTCTATGAGGAGATGGGGAGGGGTCAGGCTACACCCCCACCCTAAGCCAGTCTCCCTGTGAGGTGGGCAATGGACGCCTGGGTGCCCTCACTGGCTCTGGGAGCAGCACTAACTGGGCACAGCGAGTAGAGGCGCCGAGAGCCTCAGAGACAGGACCAGTGCCCTCCTTGCCCAAGTGCCTAGAGCCAGCCCACAAGCCCCCACTCCCAGGGCCCTGGACAACCAGGGCCGGGGTCCCTGCAGGGGCCTGGGACAGATGGCTAATGTAAATGATATTTATCTTTTCAACCAGCTTTTGTGAAGGCCTGACTAAGCCCAGGACTGGGTGGAGAGGGGCCTCAGAGAGGCTCAGGCCACTTGTCACCCTCCAGGGGCTCTGAGAAACCAGATACCACCCACGCCCACAGAGAGTGGAATGCTAGGTGAGCCCCCAGGGGTGTGAGTGAAGGGGCCAGCGGGAGGGCCTGCGTCTGGCCAGGGCCCATCTAGCTCCTGGTAAGGAGGGAGTCTCGGCCCTGGACTAGTGACTAAAGGGACAGACAGCCTGAGTCAAGGGATGCAGTGAGGCCCAATGGAGCCATTCCAGGGGCAGGCCACAGAGTCGGGGAGGGGAAGCCCTGCATGTGTCCCCCGTGTGTTCCCCAGACGAGGTGGGCCTGGAGCAATATGTCCACTATACACTCAGGAGAGAGGGGCTCCGGGAGCAGGTGGGCAGTGGGGTCTGGAGAGTGAGGTGGGCGTGCTAGCAGACCCCACTTCAGCTGGAGCAGAGGAAGATATGAGGGTGGACCTTGGCCACCGGGGGTTGGGGGAAGGGAGAGGAGCCCAATAAAGGGTCCTGGCTGACAGGAGGGGCCAGGAGGGACCACCTAACCTTGAATGACCACAGTTGAGACAGCTTTCTCAACTCTGTCTTGGACTGTGGGAGAAGTGAGTATGCCAGGTTTTCCCTGGCTGTGTGTGTGTGTCATGTATGTGTGTGTGTGTGTGTGTGAGAGCTATGTGTGTGTGTGTATGGTGTGTGTGTGTGGAACGATGTATGTGTGGTGTGTGTGATCTATGTATGTGTATGGTGTGTGTGTGTGTGTGTGAGAGCTATGTGTGTGTGTGGAACGATGTATGTGTGGTGTGTGTGATCTATGTATGTGTATGGTGTGTGTGCGTGTGTGTGTGATGTATATGTGTGTGTGTGGTGTGTGTGTATGGTGTGTGTGTGATCTATGTGTGTATGTGTATAGTGTGTGTGGGGAACGATGTATGTGTGGTGTGTGTGTGATCTGTGTGTGTGTATGGTGTGTGTGTGTGTGATGTATATGTGTGTGTGGTGTGTGTATATATGGTGTGTGTGTGATCTATGTGTGTGTATGGTGTGTGTGATGTATATGTGTGTGTGTGGTGTGTGTGTATGGTGTGTGTGTGATCTGTGTGTGTATGGTGTGTGTGTGTGTGTGATATATATGTATGTGTGGTGTGTGTGTGTGGAGCAATGTATGTGCGGTGTGTGTGGTGTGTATATGTGTGTCTGTATGTGGGGGTAGGGGAGGGAGGGCAGTGGCAGGGTGTAGCATCAGGATAGGGGTACCTACAGGCTCAAAGGGCCTCAGTCAGGGACTCAGGGATGCACTGGAATCTTGAAGAGACCAGGACTGCGGAGGAACCAGGCTTACAGTTCAGGGACTCAAAAGGACGAGGGGCTGCTTTG